TGGGCTACCAGATTCAATGCTGTTGCAACCTGCTCAGTGAATTTTTCTACATGTAGTATTTCAGCAGTCAGCCCTAGTCTCATCTCTCTCCCTTTTCATTGAGCAGACACCTTTCCTCAAAGAGTAATTATTACTATGGTGATTTCTAAATTACTAGATCCATGGAGTCTACTTAACCTAATGGAAAAGGTCCTTTTTTTTCCTCTCCCACTTTTCTCATTACTGAAGGAGAACATTCTGGCCTGAACAATGGCTGTATACATGAGCACAGATTTATTAAGTTTAGAGGATTTGTACTGTTGTTTTACAAAATGGTGCCAACTTGCAGCATGACTTTATTTTATGATGAATAGCTTTCCCAGGCCAAAAAGCTAATGACATCCAGAGCTTCCATGCCTCCCACACTCCTGCGGTCCAAAAGGCCACAGATAATTTCTGCCGAATCAAACCCATAAAGAGAGAATTTATAATCAGCTTTAATGTGTTTGGGAGCTAAAGTACCTCAGTCCTTCATCAAAGGGAATGATAAAAACCAGAATTAATATGGCTGGATTTAATTATTTCTGAGTGCATAATTACTCTTTAGCTAACCTGACAGAAGGTATGTTATTTCTCTTATTTTGAGCAAAGGAAAGGCATTTGCAAGCATACAGTAGTCACTATAGAGATTTAAAAATGCATCATGTTAGCTCCTTAACATTGATTGCAATACAAATAGAATAAATATTTGAATAATAATTTAAATAATGTAAGAACTATTTTCAAGTTAAATGAGCATAGACTTCGTTAGGAGTTCCTCCTGCACGTAGCGTTCTTTTAGTTTTCATAGCAAGACTATTCCTTGCCTTTAGGAAACATAAAATGCAGTAATCACTTTTCCCCTTTTTAAAGTGACTTAGGGGTCTACTTTCCCATTAGCATTAATGAGAGTTACGGGTGTGCACCAACATGAGACTAAGTAAGACTAAACCTTAGAGAGCCTTTTGATAAGTAAATCATCTTTGCATCAGCATTTTAGAGGCTTTAGTATCCTCTTTTTCCCCCATTAGTTATGGTACCTGATTACTTTGTTGGCATTTAATATTTATTACATAAACTTTAGCTAAAATTTCAGCCAGCACAGTAAAGCAGTGTATCTATTTGAAGGTTTGTGTCTTAGACATAGTAAAATGGTCTTTTTGTAACAGATCCCCATTTTTGCAAGTGAAATGCTCAAAGAGGAGGATTAATCCAGCCTTCACAAAAGTGAAGAGAAACTACAGTAGAACAACAGTGAACAGTAACTGTGGACAAAAGACTTTTGGCAATAATAACTCTGAAAATTGTATATTCTTTTTTGTTCCGTTGGCGCCTGGTCCATCATGTCTTAGTATCAGTATTCTTAAAATTAGTTTATGTTACCTGAAAAGAATATTAAAATGATGGAAGAACCCTAAAGAATCATATATCAAATAAACAGTGCTAAAGAAATAAATCTAGTTGAGGGATACATTTAATTTACAAAATCATAAACTATCTGTGGAATATTAATTGAAAGCTGCAGAAAATATCTGAAAATTATACACCAACTAGGCAATTTCAGTTCTGATTTATTTTTACTTAAAAAGGCTATTGCTGCTACATTTTGTAGGATCTTGCCATAAGATTTTATTTTGTTTATCTGCTAGTGATTTCAGCGTGTTTTCCTGTGTGAGGACTCAAAACATCAATCTTTCTTTATGATCATACAGACACAGCGATGCTGTTAGTCAGTGTAATCATTTATCTGGAGAATCAGAAGCAAAAGCCATTTCTTACTGATTTTGAAATGAGAGTTATTGCTGAAATGGGTGGAATTCTAATCCAGAGCTTCTCTTAATACTACTTCCACGATCTCAGGAAGTGTCTTCAGCATCTGCACATGAAACAGGCAACACAGACTAGAGCTCTGCCTCCTCTTTGAGTGCTCCAGGCTGAACCACTTGCTGTTTCCATATTCCATTTTAGGCAGCCCTGTGCACAGAGGGTCTCGAGCTGATGTTTCTTTTAGGGATTGCCCAGCAATGTTAAAAATGTAAATTAAGTTTCATAGCATCCCTGTGTGTATAGATAAAGTATAGGTGATAGGTAAGGAGTTTCATGTCTGGTGCAGGAGGACCAAACTCTGTTTTGGCTTTTTAGACTCAAACAGCATTATAACTCCAAGAAACAGCAAACCTGTCTGAAGATGTAATGAATGTGGTCCATTATATTACAGACTGGAGCAAATCTGTGGCAGAAATAATCTTTCATCTCTTTCTTAACACAATACTGTGAGTGGTGTCTGGTGGGTCTGCCACGTGTCTCCACCAGGGATGAGTCCTCCTGCTCAGGGGATGTGGGATGTGGCAAGCAGAGCCCTTGTATTGTGAAATAGATCTAGAACTGTATTAAAAAGCATGTTTAATTTATGAAAACTTAAAAATAGGTCAACCCCTTTGCAAAAGGAATTGTCAAGCACTGGAACAGGCTGCCCAGGGAAGTGGTTGAGTCACCATCCCTGGAGGTATTTAAAAGATGTGTAAATGTGGCACTTGGGGATGTGGTTTTGTGGTGGACTTGGCAATGCTGGGTTATTGGTTGTACTCAATCTTAAAGGTCTTTTCCAACCTTAACAGTTCTATGATTGTAGGAAAGATGGTTTAATTTTTTAAAAAATATTTTTCATAGAACCTCAGAAGTGCAAAAATATGAAGATTACCCAGGTTATTTTTAAAGCTAGACCATTATGCTTCCCCATATTGTAAAATCAGGGATGGTGTGAGATCAGGACATTTGCATTGGGATGGCTGATGCGCTGTGTAATTGCGGCTGAGATCTGGAACCATGACCTGCACAAAATACCTCACAAAGGCCAGCTACTAAAAAAAAATGTAACATTCATTGTCTTAGTTTCATCCAGAAAATAAATTTCCCCTCTCTGTGCAAATTATTTGGAGAAATGTGTGCTGTTTGCTTTTCCAGATGTTACTTAGGCCCTTTCTGGTGACCTTTAAAATTTAAAAGATAAGAAACCATTAAAAATGGGGTGTGTGTGTATATATATATATATATATGTATATCTCCTTGCCTGTGTCTGGCTCTCCATTCTTAAGTGCATAACTCTTACAGTTCTTAAGTTCGTTCACCCTGCTGAAAACCCACCATGAAATTATTGTTCTTCTTTGCATACATCTTTGATTTTTCTAATTTTATTCTTTTAGAAGTAACGTTGTTATGGTATGAGAATGAGGCAGCGAGACATTTGAATGTGTGTGTTTGGACAGGGTCATGTTATCTAGATACTATTTATTGTAAATATTATATTTAGGGTTTGTATTAGGAAAAAAATGTTGTGTTACCGAGTTTTCTATTAAACAGAGTGATTGTTGCAGGCGTGACTGTAAAAATGCTCGTGTTTAATTTATGATGTATAATTCTAGTGTTCTGTGTTTAGAATGAGTTTAAAACTATACTTCTGACTGATGCAGCAATAAAGGTATTCAGTAATATGGTCCAGCTCCTACATTCACAGTTAAAGTTCCATGGTACTTCATGGGGTTTCTTTCTGTTTCTCCAATCCATGCACCTGGTAAAAACATTTTATGATTTTTTTTTTGAAAATGCTTCACTCAAATACATGGTATTTTGCCTATAAATGACGAGTTTAATGCTGAATGACTAATATCCTGTAAAATAACAGAGACAGAGAGAGCTTTTTAAATACAAATGTTTTAATACTCCACAGTGCTTAGATTTAATGCATGTCTCTTGCCTACATCTACTGCAAATATCAACACATACTGTTCATCTCTTTTTTGTTGTTGTTTTTGTCTATTGCTATTTTATGCATGAGGAAGTTCTTGTTTTCTACTCTGTGCTTGGCTGGCTTTTTCTTTTTGGTTGTTACTTAGCCCTGTGTTCGTACTGATTGCTTTCTCGCATGCAAATTGCAGAATGTCATGGAAATGAGAGAGCTCTGAAAAAAAAAGGAAAGATAATGCTGAGTTCAACTGTCTTTTGTTTGTGCGTAAGTGTGTAAAATATATGACATGGAAATATTTTCAGAATGGCCTTTGACTTTCCTTCTGATGCATATTTTTTGTTACTCAGTAAAGGAGTGGGAATTTTTCCCACTGGAAAATATGATGAATTTATTAATACTTGTTAATAATGAAGGTGTTGGGCATAAAAGATTTTTTGTCTTATTTGTAGAGATAAGGAACTGTGAAACTTTATGTCTTGCCCAAACTAAAACTTCAATTCTACATTCAATACAACTTTTTATACTGTGCATGAAACCCTGGCCCCATTGAATTCAATGGCTAAAGTCATTGTCTTCAGTTGGGCTGGGATTTCACTCGTTTCTGGTTTACAAGTGGATTTTCATGTTTCTTTACAAATATCTCAGGAGGTAGTCAAAGGTTTCAAGGGTATCTATGGTTCTATTTAAAAGAAAATATAATGAGAGTGTCAAAAAACAAAGTCAAACCTGTGCTTATCTTTATAAAGCATGAACTTAAATGGTTGAATTTAAAATGTGAATTATCATTTCACAGAAAATATTGTTTTAACTAACTGTCAAGACATTTATTAACCACCTTATTGCATCAAATGCAAGAGGTAATTTGGCAGTTCTTGTCTCCGCTATTCCTAATAACAGCAACAGGAAAAAAAACAATTAAATGAAGTGGATAAATATAGTTTATGGCGGGGTATGCTTTTAGCAAACAAGCTTTGATTCTTCATTTAAAAACAATAAAACACTGGGCACTCTTGGATTCTTGTGCTAGATGTTTCTAATAGCCATACCCCCTGGGAAGGTTTTGCTGTAATGTTTGAAAAGCGTAATGAAAAATTGGTTGTTATAAACTAAGATTTCCCTCCCTGCAAATGTTTTTCTTGAAACGTCCATGGGAATTTAATATTCACTGTTTTTTTCCTCAGTCTTGTATATTCTTGAATTGTCTTTTTTCCTCCATTTTCTCCGTTCTTAATCCTAGGTCCCCTTACAAAGAAACAGACAGATGATTTAGGTGATAATGACGGTGCTGAAGATGAAGGTATTTTTTGCCGCCAAACTGATTTGCATGACAAGGATCCCTGAAAATCTTTTTTCTCCCCTCTTTTTTTGACTTCTTGTCTTCTTTTGAAGAGTTTTTTTTTTTTAATTCCCATTTTTGATGTGTTTTGTCTTCTTGCTTGTTGTTATACATATATATTTTTAATTTTTTAAAAGAAAGAATGTTGTTAAGTTCTACGTTTTGATACAAAACAGTAACAATATTTAAAAAGGAGGGTTTTTTGTTTTCTTGAAATGGACTTTTGATATGTTGCATCCCACCTTTTGACTGAATTTTGTCCATACTATTTAAACTAACACTCTTTTAAAGTTTCTCTGTACACCTTTTTGCATGTTTTCTAACCCTATGTATTTCACCGAGTACAAAGATGTTTCTTTTTTTTCACTGACTGATCTCAGTTTGATAAACATATACAACATTGTGTTTATAAAAGCAAAAATACAGCAAATTCTTAAAAAGTGTCTCTTAAGCAACTGAATTTCCCCAAATGCAAACCCTTTTGAATTTAAACTGCCATGAAAAAATATAAATAAATGAAAGGCTACCCTACCTCCCTACAGAAGGGACGTAGCTGTAGAGGCAAGCAATATTGGCTTGTTGGTGAGGCTCTGTGGAGCTAAACTAAAACTAAAAAAAAAAATCTAATCCCTTCTGTTTTCTACAAGCATACAAAGATGCCTATCTGCTGAAGCTGACCCTTGGAAAACCCTATTACCAAGTAAAATCAAAACTTTGAAATGTCAAGCATATTATTCTGTTCATAAATTATGTCTGTTAATCATAAAGCTATGCAGATTTGGTATTTTTTCAGGGCTATGAAAATGGTAACAAGGGGCTCTTTTCCTGAACAGTCTCATCCCTTCAAGTAGATGTGCTTCAAAATTCTGAATCTTAAACACATACTTTGTATGTTTTATGGTCAATGAGTAGAACAAATTACCATATAGGACTGGTAGAGTTGCTGCATGCTTCTCACAATCTGAGTGGGGGAGATTGGCCAGATACTAAAATGAAATTTAACTTGTAATCTGAAAGGCTTTTAATTAAGAAGTTTTTCATGACATGGAACATTAACCATTTAGCTTAAACAGAAACATGTAGTCCTACCACAAAAGGTGAAGGAAGGCAGATACAAGCATTTAACTTCTTGCCCTCTAACTGAACAGAGACTTACAAATAAACCCACAGTTTTATAAATGTCTGACTTATGATCCTCTGCTGAATGTGCATGTTAAGCATATGAATGAGAGCACACCAGTTGGCCCAAGATTTGCAAGATTTGATTATTTTAATAGTTGAAAATCTCCTTAGAAAGGTCTTGTGTGTGGTGGTTTAACCCAGAAGGCACCCAACCACTCACTCTCTTCTCTCCAGTTGGATGGGGGAGAGAACTGGGGAAAGAAATGAAAAAGTGAAATTATTGATTGAGATAAAGGCAGTTTAATAGGACAGAAATGAAATGAAAATAATAGTAATGATAAAAGAATGAGAATATACAAAACACGGGGTGCACAATGTCATTGCTCCCGCACACTCACTGATGCCCAGCAGTTCCCAAACAGCACCTTCTGGACAGCTTTCTCCTGGTTTATATGCTGAGCATGATGCTATAGGGTATGGAATATCCCTTTGGACTGTCTGAATGAGCTGTCCTGGCTGTGTCCCCTCCTAACTTCCTATTCCACCCCCAGCCTGCTTGCTGGCGGGGTGAGAAGCTTGAAAAGTCCTTGACTTAGTGTAAGCACTGCTCAGCAACAACTAAAACATTAGGGTGTTAGCAACATTATTCTCCTCCCAAGTGCAAAACCCAGCACCATACCAGTATTAGGAAGAAAATGAACCCTATCCCATCTGAAATCAGGACACATATTGTTCAGAGATAATTAATTCAGATCTTCTTAGCTTTATGAAGCCAAGACAGTTTTACATTAGTTCATGACATAATATTGCAAGGGATAGTCTTGTGAATTCTCCAAGATCTGTGACATTGAATTAGAAACTGTAGAAGTTACTTTGTCTTGTTTTAACAATATATTTTAAGAAAGCATTTGGAACTTGGGTTATTCACCCAGTGGGCCTTAATAGCTCTCCTAAATTGCTGTATAATTGCCAAGACAAATGCTAATGGCTTAATGTTGGTTGAGTCCTTCTCTGCTTAGAAACACTTAAAAGAGACTACTCAGTTTGCTGAAATTCAGCAGAGAGTGGTATCTGTCAGAAAGTGGTTTAGTACTTAGGATCAGAGAGTAGGGATCTCAGTCTTCAGAGAACAAGTGTCCATGTCAGAGAAAACCTGTCTCCCACACTGACAATTGTAGGAGAGAGAAGAAGGGCTGTAAGAACACAGCAGTCAAACTACAAGGGAAGAAACACATTTACAACACTAATAAATCTCTGTAATTTATGGAACTGGGATTAATTTTCTCTGGTGTACAAGTGACAGTTTTGTTCTCCTTTCCATGCCAATAGAAGAATGCAGGCAGTAATTAGACTTTTACTGCTTTTGAGAGGCACAGAGAGACAGGGCAAATTTGAATTTTTATGACCAGTAGAGACTAAAGGTTGCTGGGATGTTTGCTAGGCTGGCAGAATACCTGTCTGCTGAGACCCTGCATTTCCCAAAGGAGGAGTAGTATCAGATGTCCCACATTTTGTGAACCTGCTCTTCTGCATTGAAGCTCTAGCACCTGTTGCACGTGTAGAACTGAAGAGTTCAAAAACTTAGTGATATGTATTTGGGTATGAGTAGCAGGAAAGAGAGGGGCAAAGGAAAAGGTCACCTTAGCTGTATAATTTTCTACTAATCTGTCTCTCAAACCCTTCACCTTTTGCAGGATGGCAAGATTGCAAATATTGCAGATTTTAGGCAGGGTAAAATTCTACAAATTAATAACTGTGGAAAAATAAAATAAATGCTAAACTGAATTAATGATGAAGTTGGAATATTAGAGAGACTGGGCAATACACAGTCCACAACAACTGTGTCACATAATCATAGAATCCATGGCACATAAACAACATCCAATGATTTCTGAAGTGCCTATATTAAGAAATCCAGAGATCTCATGTCTGTTTAATGTATTATACCTTTCTGAAAAAAAGATCTTCCATAGTTGCTTCTTGGATCAAATGCCCGGAGAGCATTTTGTGTTGTGTCACTCAAACATTAGAGTTTGATTAGAAGATTTCATTTTAAAACAATGTTCAATAATTCTACTCCCATCAGCTGCTGCGTGTCACTGCCACAGTATTGTGGTCAAAACCTTGCCAGCACAAGCACTGGAATCAGTAATCAAACTTGGATCTCTGGTATGTGCTGCAACCAGTAGACCAGGCTTAATTAGATAATTTTTCATTTTTGTTTTCAAAAGACCCAAAGGCAGTAGTGCACATTACCAGCTAATGATCTGCAAATTTGCTGTTTAAAGAATGAAGGTGTTTTCAAATTCTATGAGTGGGAAATGGGTGAAAAGTCAGAAACAACATAAATGCCTTTTTTCCCCCTCTGATGCATTCTTGTTTCTGTTTAACCCTTTCAAGTCTACACTTGAATTGCTTACCTGTTTTTCAATAAGCATTGAACTACTGGAGCAGGCACCAAATACAAGAGTATCACCTGCAACCAGTGAGAACTGGGGCTTGCCTTTTAATGGCAATGGTGCATTTGCCTATTTGCTGACATACAGGTATGCAATATCTAGTATATATGCAAGATTTAACTTCAAGTTGCTCAGTTATATAAACTTTACCTTCCCCAGTCTAGAAACAAGGTTTAGTTTTAAAAAGTAAAATATTTTAGTCTTCTTGTCATATCTGAATCTTGGTAAGGTAATAGTTTCACTTTAATTTGGCCATAGAAAAAAAAAAAAAAACCAGTGACTCTTATGCACCCTTAGTTCCTATCCACTAAAATCCTAAACATGATATAAAATACGGCAACACAAATCATTAATCAGGCAGTGTACTCTGGGATCAGAATTGGACTTCTAGGTAGTTAGAGGTGTATGAAATATCCATGGAGGATTGCTCACAAATGAATTCCCATCCACCACTCAGTCGTACACACCTTACCTGGCACATCCATCTGTCAATCTTGGATCCTCATTTAATCCCCAACGCTATTTGAGCATCTCTCAGTTTTTAATGTATTCAGCCTCACAGCATCCCTCTGCAATAGAGGAATGTTATTATTCCATTTTTGGGAATGAGGAGTGCAGATGCTAAGTTGGAGGAATGCAGACACCATGTCTGTAGTAAAGCAGGGAGCTGAGAGTACATGCCTCAGCACTGGGGTCTGCATTTTGTAATTTCTAGATGATTCTGCTCTTCCCTTCTCCGTTTCGATTTCTCCTGTGGTAAAGGAGACAGATTAGGAACAGATGTTGCTGTTTGCTCACAGGCTGTAACTGTAATTATTCTAATAATTTAGTCTGATGCTCTGTCTTATAGGGGCTATTGGACTTCATTGACTAAAGGAAGTTCTTGGACCAGAGAATGTTTTAAATCAAAACAAACAAAAATGCACTCAAATTTTAAATTGCTAATTGATGCAGAATGCTCTGACAGTCTTTTCATATGCTCAACAGACTGTAGTGCCATTGGCTTAAAGGAGCATGTTTCAGAATTGAGGATCTCCAAAAACCCCTATCACTCCATTAGTATTAAAATAGACTGGGTTGCCAAGTTTAGCATTTCATCTGCCTTCAGCTGTCATGGTAAGAAGCAGGGAGGGAGGCAATCTTTCCGTCTGGCACTAGTTGCACATTTTCGGACTTCAGAGATCAGTAAACAGCAGAACACATTTGTCTACCCAGTAAAGCAACCACATGCTCCAACCTTAATTAGAGCCTCTAATGAGTGCCAGCCAGGCTGGGGTAGCACAGATCTTACTGCTTTGGGTGAGCTTGTTGACTGATACATGTAGCCCCACTTGTGGTTCCTGTTCATGCTGCCACCCATTCGTGTGAGTTCTGTGATTTCCCCTCCCAAGTACAGCTCCCAGTACCACTTCCACATTAAATTTTGCTGATCATATTTTCCCTTTACACTGGGAAACTCGGTTCACATTGTGTTGAATTTTTTTGATGATGTTATTTATACTTGAAAACATGCATCATAAAATTCTGACAGACCTTTAATTTAAGCACCTCTTTAGGGCTCTATTCTACTTGTAGCACTGCCAAGCGTTGCTTGTACAGTGAAGAGTCTGTCAACTTTTGCATTTCTAACCATTATCTTTTAATAATTTAAAATTAATACCTACCTGGCTATCGAAGTCCTGCTCTAATAAGAATCTGCTCCAGAGGCTTACCTGTAAAAACACTGGACTTTTTTATGTTAGGATATATACATTCATATAGTCCTCCATCAGGATCTCAAATAATTTTCAGGTAAAGGTAGTTAAGAATTTGAGAGTGCAAAAATGATCTCCTGGTTTGACTGATAGGAAAACAGAGATAATTCTATTTGTCTGAAGCCTGGTAGAGTGCAGGCTGGATTTTAAAGTAGAGAACATATCTAGAACTTTGCTGTCACTCTGAACAGAAGTTCGATAGTTACTTTAATGGTCTCAGAACATCTAGTTTTATATCTCATTTTAAAAATATGGCATTAATGGATGTTTACATATTAGCACTAAGTGCACTTGCTTATTAAAATGGTAGTGCATTTATAAGTCATCTGATGGATTTGAGCTGAAAGGTCAAATGCCATTAAGAGGCTTTAAAATGATTAAGAGTAGCACTGATTTGTACCACGCTCTACTCAAATATTTTTGGCAGAAGCTTATAGAAGAGTTACACATATGTCATATTACATTCTATCGAGGGAACACACAGGTTTTGCAGCAAACAATCTAAAATTTTTCCACTGTTTCATGTTTAAAACCCAAGATTTACTTAGCACTCTACATCAAACTGTCACAATTTTTTATATTATCTGGAAACCCACTGCTTGTGACATCAGCACTAAACTAATTTTTTGTGTATGAAGTTGTCTCCAGGTAGGCTTTCTTCCTTTCCAATTTTGGTTGTTCCCTGCAATTATACTTGTTAAGTCACATGACCAATTCACATCAGCTTTGAATGACTGAAGCTGTAATTATGTTTTGTTATAGATGGCAATTGTGATTGGTATTCACAGTCAGACCCGGTTCCCTGTTGTGTGATGTAACAAACATAGAATAAAAGAGAGCCCTATTCCTAAATTGTCTGTAACATAATTAAGATGAGACACGAAAAGTAGATGCAACAAACATTAGAAGGTACAGAAGAGAGGAGATAATAGAAATAATTATAAGAAAGTTAAAGTACATGCAGTATCAATAAGATCATTCTCTGCTGTACAGTAAGACCTATTTAGATGTTTTATGAACTAGCAATTTAAAGCCAAACAAATCACAGCACTCAAAACTTATCTTCCGTGTGACTAAAAACAGAACTGAGTTGAATTTGAGAAGGATTTTGAACAGCACTATCCTGGCATATGTCTTTTAAAATATGAATGTATCTGCTTTTTAATTAAAGCAATACTTAATAAAAAGCAACAAAAAAGTGCAGAAGGCAACTAAATTAAATCAGTCTATAAATCTACTCTTGGCAGAAACACCACATTTACACCCCAATTCTTCAGGCTCAGAATGAGCTGCATCCACAAATCACTATTAATCTGCATCTGTGGAAGCTATTAATCTGTATGAGAAAGGGTAACCACAGTTTCCTAAGTTCACTCCAGCACATGCACAGAAAGGCACTAGGAAAAAATGGGATTTGCATCAAATCACACAGGGTCAGGTTTTGAAAAGTGTGTGACTGCCTAAACATCAGTTATTTTCTTTGTTGAATTGGACACTGAACTTCAATAAACACTTTTGAAAAGTGCATCTTTCTGCAGCTTTTGTACCAGTACAGATTTTTCTTCTCACAGAGTGTTAACACTTCCTCCAGTTTAGTTTGAAAGGATGGGAGTTTTCATAGGGGAATATTTGTTCTCTTTAAGATACAATCAATTCTCAATTAAAGGCTGATTTTTTTGCTCTCTTCCTCTGATCTTATTATTTAATAACATCCACTGTTCATAACATCTGTTCTTAAACTACACTCTCCCAGCTGAATATTTGTACCTTTCAAACATTCCTGGCTGCAATTGATATGAAACTGCTAACCAAAATGCAGTGATGTCTCTTCTTCCCATGAAGAGCTCCATAGATTTTGTATAAATCATAGCCCAAAGTCCCATCAGCCTCTGCTGAATGCTGCACGACCTCACTGATGTCTCCTGTACCAGAGTACTGCCCAGAACACACAGAAGCACCATTTTTCTGCTCTAGAAGGGATTCCTCTTAAGACTGATGACTTTGGCAAAGCAGCATGAGGAAAACTCATTCCTCATGTCATCTGCTCTGACACAGCACAGAGGCAGAGCTGAAAATTAGCCTTTTTTATCTATCTGTAATCTTTACAGCAATATTACTAGTAGGAAGTAACAAAAATATGGTATAGACAGAAATCACGTCTTTATATATACGAGATTTTATTCATGAACGTGAGCTTTCATTCTCAGATAAAGGAGGCCCATTCTTTTCTAAATATTCCAATATTATTTTCCAGACAAACAGGCCAGTGCTACCAACATTTCATTGCTGTGCACAGTTGGTGCTCTGTAATTCTATGTCATTTTAATTAAAGAAGAATTCTGAGACAGTCTCCCCCTGTGCTACCATCAAGAATACAATTAACTGTGTACAATTTCTTCTGGGAACAGTCACACAGTGATTTCAGATTAATAATTTATTATTGCTTCCATATTTGTATCAAAAAAAAAAAAAAGCACAGCATAGACTATGAACAAACCATCTACTAAAAACTGTATATAAATTTGAAAAGACTTTTTCCTTGGTGTAGATTTTAAATTTGAGAAGTTCATAATTCCATCCTGCGGACCACAAAGATAAATAATCTCCATAGCTTTGCACTCTGAAAATTGCACATTGGAAAGCCCTTGCTAAATGCTCAGGTGAGGAGAGCAATACAAACAATTTCATGCACAGCCTTTCATCATCCTTTTGGTCTTGAATAAATGATTGTTCTAGTACTTCCAATATTGAAGATCCAATTTCTGATCTTGACTGTTTGGGCATTTTCTTCAAATTAAAATCAATATCAACATAATAGTAGCAGTCGGCTTTTTATAAACAGAGATGTCTGCGCTGATCTTTTTCGGTGAGTTCAAAAAGCAGGGCTTTTAGTGTAGCTACCCTCACCTATTCTTTACAGTGCTTTAGAAACAATTCAAACAATTCTACTGAGAGCTTACTTAAAAGCTTCTTGACTAAGATCTCTCCAAATCAAAGGGGTAAACAATACATCTGAGGTTTCTTCAAACGCTGAAGGCAGCAATCAGGGAAGTCACTTGAATACTGTCATAATGAGGCAAAAAATGACAATCAGAATATTCAGCACAGCTCCTCACTGGGAAACTTTCCTACGCTCTCTTGCTATTGTCTTTCTTGATTTTGAGGGGCTGTATAGCATATTATGATTTGTTTGGTGGAAAAGGCTCAGGTACCCAGTAAATGAGATCAAGATGCAACTTAATCCAGATGTAAGAGTTTAAATTTGCACATTAGATGTTTTATTTCCTGTCCAGAAGAAAAAAACCCCAACTTTAAAAACCCTGTATCAGCCTATACGAACTGTTTTGAATTGATACTCAGGAACAACTTTTCCTCATGAAGAGCAGTAGTGTTCATATATTCAAAATTTTATTCTGAGTAGATGCATCAATTTGCAAATAGGACTATTTGGGGCTGGAGGGATACCTAAATCTAAACTCAAAACAGTATGATAATATCTAATATTGTTGTTGGAGAGAATGGCAGAGCTTCTAAGATTTAAAATTATTCCCTGCATTTGATGTCACCTTTGAGAACATTACACTTATTTTGACCACAGATTTATTAGCACTGTTCCAGGCAGATTTTTTTTTTTCAAATATACAGTAGTTTTCGTGCTTTGGGAAATTAAAAAGCACCTATGAACCTTAACCTTCAGGTTACCCTTGTTACAAATAATATTCATTCAAAGTCTGAGTGTTAAACATCTTTAAAGTACTTTTTGAGAACTCAGATTTCAGACCCATCCAAAGACAGCTACTTATACACCTCTTTTACAAATCACTGATCTTACCAGGCTAGAAGCAATCGACAATTATGTATGAGCAGAAATCTTGTTTATTTTAATGTGTTGAATTTCCCTTAGCTAAGAGGACAGAAAGAGGGACTGAGCTTTCAGAAGTTTTCAGCTGAAATGAGCTCACACTTGTGTTAGCAGACATTTTGCATCCAGTTCAGCAGCAACAGACTCAGATCATTGTCCCACTGCATTTGAGTAAATGTGTTACCATTTTCAATGCCTTTCTGCCTTGCTGAGCCAGAGTGTTTCCAAAATAGGAGTTTTAGTTCCGAGCAAGCCACAAAGAAAACACTTATGCCCACCTGGCCACTTCCTTATGCGAAAGACGTTGCTTGAGAAACACTTCAAGAAAAATAACCTCACTAAAAAAAAAAAAAAAATTAAAATATTGCATGTATCTTCTTTGGTACTTTCTTGAGATAAAATGTGTCTTAATATTTTTTCCAGACATTCGGGACAGTGGGGGACCTAAGCCTGTGATGGTGTATATTCATGGAGGGTCCTACATGGAAGGCACTGGAAATTTATATGATGGCAGTGTTCTAGCAAGTTATGGGAATGTGATAGTCATCACAGTCAACTATCGCCTTGGGGTACTTGGTAAGAAGCTTTCAGCTTTCCATTAATCCCTGCTGTCTGCAATGCAATTCATATTATACATGAGAACATATTTGGGGGAAAAAGAAAAAGCAAAAGAACAACAAGTATTTTAAGATATTATTTGTCATATAAAAGATTTGTGTTCTGGGGATGAGACATGAAGATATTGCAAGTGAACCTGCTATCCTGCAGTGGTATCAAACAGGTATTCCCATTGCTGAACTGTCCAGACAGAAGAGCTCTTTGAGTTCTTTGTTTTGTTGTTTGTTTTTTTTAAATTATGAATAAAAGTGATGCTTTCCTTCATAGACAGACAAATTATTTTAAAAAAACCACAACTGTTAAATCATAGACAATAGGATTTTCTATTGGAATGAAAGAGTCTAAGTTTCGAGACTTCAAAAAAGTGAATGATTTTATGAAAACACCTTTTTAGCTGTTTGTTTTGAGCTTCACTGTGATTTTGAGAAGTGTTATGGGTGTCATTCAAATATCTCCAGTATTTCTTTTCTTGACAAAATTAGAGAATGATTTAGAGAATGAAAGAGTTACCTTTGCTTGTTTCAAATACATTCAGTAGACTATGCTCATGCTGTTGGTAAATGTGTGCGGTATCCCTCTGGTTTGTATTTCTGGAAAAAAAAAAAAATTACTTTTCCATTTGCTCAATGTAGTCACATTCACCAGCTCTTGAGAAAATATGATTGTTGGTTTTCTTCTTCTGTGTATTCTGCCAAAATGTTGTATGCTAGGACTCCCTAAATAGGACTTGGATTCTGGGATACACTGAAGATCAGCACAGTACCTTCAGAATACTTGTATAGGCATGAAGGTATTCCCTGTAACATCTGAAGAGGGTGTGACAGGCGGAGAGTTGGTTCTGAAAACCAGTCAGATTTATTTTCAAATCGTGGGCATTAGCAATGTCTGCTATTCTGGTTTCCTTTTGTCCTTGCAGTTCATGATTGCTCTGTTTCTTGGTGTTTTGGATTCAATTAGCACAGTCCCCAAATGCATCGGATCTGGTTTGCTCATCTGGGTAATTTTCTTCCAACAGTTTCATTTTTCTTAAAAATTTGACATCCTAAGTTCAGGAGGAGGGAGTGGATTTTGACTTTAGATTTTGAAACTGTCTACTACTATTGTGTTATACAAGGGACTGAATAATTTCCTGAAAGGTCTTAACAATTTTTTGCTGGATTTATCTCCTTGGTATTGAAGGTTTCATTTGTGATATCCTACTTTGAGCAAGGAAATTCTGGTATTTTGTGTGGTTTTCTTCTTCCTTCTCTTTTTTCAATTTATATGGTGACTTTAAGTTCTGCACACATATTAGTGCAGCAGTTAATAATTTGTAATCTGTGCCTCTAATCAACATTACAGTTTGACACCAGTGCTTGTCTTTGATGTCTCAAACAACATTTATCTATAATATATGCCAGCATAAAAGAAAATATCTATTATCAGAAAACGCTGTTTGTTTTTGTATATCATTTAGTCTTTTTTCTAAGTCATTAGTAATTGAAGTGTTCAGGAGGGCTAGTTGCTTGAAAGACGAAAATTAATACACCTCTGCTGATGATAATGGTTTTTCCACTTGCAAATTAGAACTGATCCCTGAGGTAACCCATGGCTAACATCTCACTGAGCTTAAGAGGATTTCATTTGTGTTCATGCTCTTGTGATTCTTTGGACTTTGTGGTCTTTACTGAGCCTCAAGGGGCAGAGAGCTAATTTTATTTTAAGTGGGACCTATTACAGTAAAACCTCTAAAATTCACAGCAGAATCCAATGATTGGTATGAATATTTGAAATTACTTTCAAACTAACTGAAATAACCCTGTATCAGGTTTGCAGGGGTTTCTTAGTAGAATAAATGTACCTGTTAACTCTATGTAGAAGTCATTTTATATATTGTAGTTGGTACAATGCCTATCTGTCCCATATTAAATAAATAATTGTGACATATCATTAAATAGGTAGTGTAGAAACAGAGCAGCAATGAAAAAAAGAAAATTTGAGCAATTTACATTTTTCCTGCCTCTCTTTATTTCCTCATCTATGGAGAGCCTCAGAGTAGGGCTTTCCATAATCACGGTAGATATCAGCTCTAACGTGTGAGGTTTTGAAACTCTTGTTCCTCACTGTTACAGCTGAATGTTACCCTTTGCAGTCACATTAAATAAGATACGGTTTTACAAAAACATAGCTGGCAAATTCTCAGCTTCCCTTATCTGATCATATCCCACAAAGTGAGAGGTCCAGCTCCACTGACCATTGCCTGTGGCGCTACTTAAGATTTCACTTCACCCCCACGTAAAATGCGTGGTTGTACAGGCAGAAGAAATATAGGAATTACTGTTTGCATGAGAAGATGTAGGGAAAATCAACATCTGTCTTCTCACTTTCATGTGACCCTTATTGGTTTGTGTTTCTTGTATCAGTCTTTGTGGATATATGTCTTTGTACAGGCAATCTCTGAGTCCTCAGACTTCTGCCATTGTTTCACCAACATTCACACTGTGACTTTTCTTAAATAAATAAAATAATAAACCATTATCATTCAATAAATGTTTAGAGCTGCAATAGCAACATTTTCTCCCAGACCAATACTGATGGGAGTGAGGATGTCCTGTGATATGAGGTTCCTCACAGTACTGCTATTAAATCCTCAGCAGACTTTTGCTGCAACTCAGATTATTTTTCTCTTTATTCTGAGTTGAAAGGTCCTTTTTTTTTTCTTATGGACTAGTCTGCTCAATGGGGCTGGTTTTTATGAAGGTGCAAGATTTGCTTATAAATAAAATTTTAGAAAATGTTTAAAAGTGAAATCCGTTTGGTAAAGAGAAAACAATAATAAAAATTAAAGAAAGATGGAGCAAGTGCATTTTAAAAATAAAACCAAAAACCATACAAAGCCCTCGTGAGCTCCCTGGCCCAGTTTTGCCTTTGAAACAAGTCTGAGAATGAAAGTCTGTTAGAAACTGTCCTTCAATAAAGATGATGGAAACCAGAACTCTTTGTCCTGGAAAATTGGGGACTACTGAATAAGAAGCCATTGGAAACAGACTATTTATATCTTCTTTTGATTCTCTTTGAGTGCAAGTCCTGTGCAAGCAATCTCCTCGAGCAAGGAATACTGCACAGGCAGTCTAACAGATTTGAAGGACAGCATAGGAATAAGTGCAGGTATATTCTTATGGCTTCTTTTAAGGAAAGGGCAGACATGAAATCAAGCTTGGACTTTCAACTCACCTGAAACTTCAAATGTTTACTCAATATATATCCATCTGGTAAAAAGCAGGCACATTTTATTTAAGTTTCATTAAAATTGTAAATATAATGATAGACACATTTAATACTGCCAGTGCTGTTTTCTGTGGTTTTTCTTATGAAAGGTTTATTTAGGCAAGGAGAATGCTTTGGGTCATCACTGGCTGCTACCCCTTTTAGTTTCAAGAGGGGAGAGAAAGGAGAGAACTGGTTTTATGCAAACTGGGAACTTGTTTCTTCATTTTATTAATTTATGAGGTCTGATGTCCTTATTTAGGACATTATTTCCCCCAAAACTGCACTGAAATCACTGAGGCTCTTCAGTACAGTTCATCCCCCTGTGACAGAGCCTAGTTGGCCATAGTTTCAAGTGATGCAATGAGGAACAAGGGTACTGGAAAGGTACTTGCCACTCATGCACAGAGCTCTTCTTAGAAGAAATATGTTGTGTTTTACAGCCCAAAACTCAATTTTTCAGTAGTGTGTTGTGTGTGACTTGACTGGGCTGGGCTGCAACATTCATGTCAAATAAAATACAGAATAGTGAAAAAAACAGAACAAAGCAAAAGTACTCTCACAAAAGCCCTTTCTCACTTTTCTTAGTGACTGCTGGAGCTTTCTGGATAACAAAGTGATAGAGGACGAGTCTTATTATGCCTTAAAATGTTTTGTTGCTGTGTGTCTGAAGATATTAGGAAAATACATTAGGTTTGAAAGTACACATTGCTGCTATGCAGGATCGTGCCAACCAGCAATTTCTTATAGGCTAAAGAGGTATGTGAAATGTAAGGATGCAGCCCTGCAGCAAGTGCTGGGCAGTCTGTGCCAAGCCCAGCATTTCTGCCATTATCCATCTTGCTCTCAGCAAGACGTTGCACATTCCCAACAGGCAAAACAAAAAATAAAGCACAACCTTTTCTTTATGAGTAAGTCCATGCACATGAGTTTGTTCCCCTTACTATAGTAATTCCATTAAGTAGCCTGGTGAACCTTTTCATGGGATGAAGAATTATCAGTTGACCATTTGCAGGTCACAGAGATGAGAATATATTCTAATGAAAACTACTTCAGAACAACGTGGAAGTACCTGCCTGTTTCAGGAGTCTAATTCTATTGGGATTGACTGGAAGGTACTGTCTTACTTGGTTTTGATACTTTTCTCTTTTTAAATGGAATAAAATACCATAATTTTTCCTGTTGCTTTCAAATTAGATTAGTTTGTTTCATGGTTCATCTAATTTATGAAACTGATTGATCCTAGGTTTGGTAATTAGTTTGTATTTTTCCCATCACATAGTTTGGATGGGATTTTTTCTGGCTTACTCTCCTCCTTATTTTAACAGCATGGTAGTACTACTGACAGCATTAAATAGAGGATATCTTTCAAATATGATCCAAAATATTATATAAAATTTAGATATAACCTTTTCAAAAATTGCTTCATGTCAGATTAAAAGCTTTGGTCAACTTCATAAAAATACTGTGATGAATTAGTGTCCCGTATTACTTAAGTATTTTTGAATATATAACCTGTCATATTCTTATTCTGCAACCTGGAGATTGTCTTTCCTTCTGAAAATAAGCCTTTTCACTTCAGTAAAAGTAAGCAACTCATGGCATAGTGTCTATTCAGTGAAAGTAACACTGCAATAAGAAGGTTTATGTTAGTTAGATATCAAAGGAGATAAAAAATGTACAAAGATTCTTTTTCCTACGTTGGCTAGACT